TGAACCATTCCCAAACCAGTGGGAACCAGTGTGAACCATTCCCAAACCAGTGCCAAACCGATCTGAACTGTTCCCAAACCGGTCCCAAACTGGTCTGAACCGTTCCCAAACCGGTCTGAACCATTCCCAACCCATTCCCAAACCGGTCCCAAACTGGTCTGAACCGTTCCCAAACCATTCCCAAACCGTTCCCAAACCATTCCCAAACCGTTCCCAAACCATTCCCAAACCGGTCTGAACCATTCCCAAACCGTTCCCAAACCATTCCCAAACCGGTGTGAACCGGTCTGAACCATTCCCAAACCGGTCTGAACCATTCCCAAACCATTCCCAAACCATTCCCAAACCGGTCTGAACCATTCCCAAACCGTTCCCAAACCATTCCCAAACTGGTCTGAACCATTCCCAAGCCGGTCTGAACCATTCCCAAACCGGTGTGAACCGGTCTGAACCATTCCCAAAGCAGCGCGAGGCGGTGCCTGCCCCTCACTCACCGCGAGCGCCGGCGCCGGCGGTGGCCGCGCTCCGGGGAGCGGGAGCGGCGCCGGCTGTCCCGGGATCCCCCCCGGGATCCCCCCCGGGAATAGCGCCGGGAGCGGGAGCGGGACCGGGAACGGCTCCGGGAACGGCTCCGGGAGCGGCGACGGCCGCGGAAAATCCCCCGGGAACGGCGGAAACCGCGGGAACTGCGGGAATGGCGGGAGCCTGAGCTGCACGACGAGGAGGAGGAGGAGCGCGAGGAGGACGAGGAGGACGAGGAGGAGGAAGAGCGGCGCCTGGAAAAGGGAAAACGGGGGAGAAATTAGGGGGATGGGGAAAAATTGGGGGGAAATGGGGGAAAATGGGGGAAAAAAGGGGGGAAATGGGGGAAATCGGGGAGGGAACAAGGAAAAGGAAGGAAAGAAATGGGAGAAGATGGGGGAGAAAAAGGAGGGGGAAAAAGGTGGAAAAGAGTAAGACAAGGGAAAGAAAAAGGAAAAAACGGGAAATGAGAAAGGAGGAAACGGAAAACAAAAGAAAAGTGAAAGATAAGAGAAAGAAAAGCGGAAGAAAAGGGGGGAAAAAGGGGAAGAAAAGCGGAAGAAAAGGGAGAAAAAAGGGGAAGAAAAGCGGAAGAAATGGGAAGGAAAGGGGGAAAAAAGGGGAAGAAAAGGGAAAGAAAAGGGGAAAAAAAGGGGAAGAAAAGGGGAAGAAAAGGGAAAGAAAAAGGAAAGGAAGGAAAAACAAGGAAAAATGACAAAAACAAGGAAAAAGGGGACAGAAAGAGGGAAAAACGGAGAAAAAAAGAGAAAAAATTTTTAAAAAAAGGGGAAAAAAAAGGAACAGGAAGGTGAAAACCAGAGAAAAAAAAGAGAGGAAAAACTGAGAAGAAATCGGGGAAAACAAGGAAGAAAAGGGGACAGAAAGTTGGAAATCATGGAAATACGAGAAAAACAAGAGAAGAAAAGGAAAAAAGGGTAAAAAAGGGGGAAGGACGGACCGGGAGGAGGCTCTGTGTGCTGGCGCGGAGGCTCCGGGCTGTGCCGAGCGCTGCCGCTCCCGGGAATTGCGGCTCTTGCCGGCAATGGCGGCGCTGGAGGCCGCGGCCGCCTCCTCGTCGCTGCCGCCGAAGCTCGTGATGAAGGTGATCTTCTCCTCATGGCCCAGGGAGGGCGTCCGGGAGCGGGAGCGAGACTCCGAGCTGGATTCCGACGGGGAGCTGAGGGGGTAAGGGGGGAAATGGGGATCGTGAGGGGGAATTGTGAGGGGGAATTCTGAGGGGAATTGTGAGGCGGAATTGTGAGGGGAATTGTGAGGGGGATGCTGAGGGGGATTCTGAGGGGAAATGGGAATTCTGAGGGGAATTGTGAGGGGGATCCTGAGGGGGATTCTGAGGGGAAATGGGAATTCCGAGGGGAATTGTGAGGGGGATTCTGAGGGGAAATGGGAATTGTGAGGGGGATCTTGAGGGTGAATGGGAATTGTGAGGGGAATTCTGAGGACAATTCTGAGGGGAAATGGGAATTGCGAGGGGAATTCTAAGGGGAAAT